ACTGATCATATTTTTATTCAAACTTGGGATTTTCATATACAGTTACGGGCAAAATTAAGTGGACAGGTGGGGAAAACAGGTACGAATTAAATTTAATCAAATATAACTATTACGCGCTTAAGTTTTACGTATTGTATGTCTTCATGCTAAATAGATTATTTAGCAAATAATTGAAAAGTATACTTAACGGAAAGCGTTGCTCGATTCTCGAGGTGCAAGAATAAGCGGGCACCCGTTCAAGATGATATTACAATGCGAAAACTGTAAACAAGCGCGAAGTATCCCTTTCGCTCTCACGCAGTAGACTCGGATGAACCATTTGGTCGATGTGTAAGCTCTGCATAAAACGGATTGTTTCTAAGGAAAATTGCTGTGCAGTAGCGAAAAGGTTTTTCTAAAAGTACGGTCGGTATTCAAGCATCTTAAATACTTGATGAGCCACGTCAAGGTTAGCTTGGATTCTTTAAATCGAATCAAGTATTTGGTCGTTTAACCCCTTAGCTTACAATTACGTGTCGGAGACGTGATAAGTCTGTGGCGTCGCCTCTCATGCTTGCCACCAGAGGGCTCGCGTTCTCACAAGCGCTCTCACGACCCCTCGGTTGCTATATATGTATACACTTCTTGAAATTCTGACTTTGCCCATGTTGGCCTTGACAAAAATGCGATCTGTGTCATAAGCCTTTAAAAATGGCGACGCTAGATGAAACAATTTGTTCGTACGGCCCTGACTATGGCCTAAGGCCTTTAGCTGCTCGTATTTATGTCAATTCGCTTGTTTCGGGAGCTGTGAAACGTGTAAAATTTGACACCTACTCGAGTTTACGGCTCTCGCTATATCGTGGCCCGGACTGTACTTCCATCGGCCCCCAGACTATGTAAAGAAATGTTTCAGACTGAATTATGCATTGTAGCCGATATTAATATTCTTGTATAATTATATGACCGCGATAAAACTTGGTACAGGACGTTTTAAATCGTACGAGATAATTGCAAGTGTCCCCTTTCTGATGGGACATCACGCATATTTTGAAACTCGAAAGCGAACTGACCGGACAATTATTCCTTTCGGGCAATCGCAGGAAGAGATCCAATCTTCTCGTAATGCAAACGGTGCGTTCGTATTTACAACCTGACTCCGACAACAACATCGAAGACAGTAATTTAAATAAAGTTTCAAACGTGATCTAACTATGAATCGCTAAATGGGTGGGTCCTGCAGAGAAAGCATAAACGACGCGATATATATTTTTCGTTTAACGTCCACCTTGGCTGTTATGGACATTGACGTCCAGTCTTGTCCCTGTTTCAAATGATTCTCAGTTTTGGATATTTAACGGTATAACTACCAACAGTTACAGTCTATTTATTTGTAACAAAGTGATTGAAACGATAGATACCCGAAGAAATGTATAATGCAATGGAAATAAATGTTTATTCGTTCGCTTATAAAAAAAACTATGATAAATTTTCGAAAATCCAGTTCGATGAATTTTGTACAATTTTTATTAGAAATTACGAACGGTTCGTGTTGATTGATTCGGCAGTTCTAGCGTTAGGAATTTGAGAATTATTTGGAGGACGTTTATCGAACGCGTAAAGGAATTACGCATGCGCGGGGAACGTGTTTGCAGTAGCAGAAGACCAGAAATAATTTGAAAAGTATTAAAAATAGCGAGGATGTAACATAGGGTATTAAAGGTAAAGGTTTACTAGCAATTATACTATTCAGATCGTGCAAAGATTTCAGCGCGAACCAGCTAAGCTCATTTGTAACGCCGGCTGGTACACGCCGAGCGGTATCATCCGCCATGATCTCGGAGGATCTGCGCGATTAAAGAAGAAATTACCAACTACGACAAAAGAATATCATACACGCCTTGGTAACCGCAAGAACCTGCTTGCTTGTAAGCTTATTGAACCCCAGTGATCACAACAACAGACCAAAAAGACAGAATCTGATAGACCTATCCCAGCGGATGTATCAGCAGTAATCTTGATTCTTAGTACATGCGAACATTTCGCGCGTACGAATCGCGATTACGAAAATATTTAAGTATCCGCGTCTCTTGCGACTCGAACGTGCACACCAATTATGTATTTAGAATTTTTAAGAAAGAATTTATGAACACAGTGCCAAGTTAAGAGGGCAGTCTCGTGTCAGACCTCAACAAATCAATTTTCTTTTTTATTTAATTTTATATATTTAAGAATCTACTGTTAAATTTTAAGAGATAAATATCAGGTATTGTGAAATCCTAGCATTTATGCCATCTGGGTGAGAAACTTTCTGGAAGGACTTCTATATGGAGCTGGGATCGATTAGTATGATCTTGCAGACTTTAAATGCGTTTCCCTCGAAATGTTACTTCCTTAACTGGCGTAGATGAAATCTCAAAAACCATACGTTCGATTGTTCTGAAATTTTAACACGTTGTTCCACATACTAGTAGCTCTCGCCCGTACCAAAATTATATTTTTATAACGAGTATATCGTATAGTTTTATTAAAAAGTGGCGGAAAAAGTGAGAAAGTTTTGCAATTTTTAATTTAAGCTTTCGCCATTTTGCCAATGTTCAACATAAATTAATTGTTTTGCTAAGGGCGATGACAGGAAACCTACCGAATTATAATCTTTTTGATATTTTTTGATTTAGTCAACCTTGAGAATTGCATTGTAATAAAAACTTGAAAAGTCAATAAAAATTATTGAAAAATTTATTTTCTATTCCCAAAGGATAGTTAAGTAAATTGTGAAAATACATTATAGCGTTGGATGTAACATTTGGTTAAAAGAAATGAATAAAGATAGTTAAGCTTTGAGACTGTCTCCTTGGAAGAATGAAAAGGAAGTAAATATAGTTATTGCCGACATTATTGGTATATTTAAAGATGAACCGAAGCGACGTTTCCCTGAACGAACAGTTCTAACTTTGCCCATGTTGGAGCGAACGATGAAATATAAATGAAAAAATGAAAAAAATGTTTCAAATAAAAGTTGTACGACCTGAATAAAACTGTAAAAATTAAGATCGAATATTTTAACTTGAAACCTATATTTTGCACTTATTTTCCAAACATTCATCGAAATAATACAATTTTTGGGACGTGAATATCGATAGATTTAGAGGGTCGTAAAGTATAAAATGTTGAAGTTTCCCTATTTTGGCAATCAGATGCATGTTGTTGTTATTTTAAATCTCATCATGCGGGTTTATCTCTGCAACTTGCAAGATCACTCCCTTGAGAATCTTTTAACTCGTCGCGCTATATTCCTGAGGGTATCGTTTTCCATAGCATTCGAACCAACATTACGTACACTAGAATCTTCTCTGTAACCCGAATAGCTTGCCATCGAAACTCCATTATTCGAATGCAGTTTATTTAAAATTACCATAGGAATGTTTCTTTTAAACCTGAAATCGTTCAATCGTAAAATACCAGCTTGGTCGTAAAAAAGTAAGGAACATAAACAGGGAATAACTTTGTTCCCAATAATTTTCTTTTTAAAAAGTAATTGAAAGAAGAATTGCACGTGCTGTCATATCGATAAACAAAATTTACGATAACGGTACATTTTGCAAATCTCAATTTACATTATTATTAAATATCTTTGCATCGTAGCAAAGTGCAATAATAGATAACATTCGATCATTTCACGCCAAATCGATTGCTCGATAAAAAATTCAATGCGTTTAGTAAGTTACGAATTCTAGAAGAAAAACATAAAATTTTTAAAAATTCGATATCTTCCAAATTGCAATATTATATTTCAACATTATATTTTATCCAAACGACTGATATAAATTATTAGAATTCTAGGATCTGTTTTAATTCATTGTACTGTACGTTTTAAGCCCCGTTTTTTCCTAAAAATTTCTTATCCTCCCCTCCTAAGAGAATGAGTTCTTAAGAATAAAAGAACTACACGTTCCAAGCGATTCTTCAAATTCGACAATGTATTTACGTCAGTACACAGACCACGAGGGCCCATAAATTAAGAACCTCATCTCCACCACCCTAAAACATACTTTCTATCCCTCTTTGCGACTTTCCACTTGAATTTCCCTTTCTTTGCTTTCTACACACTTCCACTTTGCCTTGATCCCTACCAGCAGATTCGCTAAACAAACCTTGATCAATCGTATCCAACTTTTTCCATTTAACACGGATTCCCTCACGCGCCAAAAGCTTAGTTGTTACATCAGTAACAAATCACCAGTCAAACATTCAACGATGCTCAAGAACATTCGACCTTTTTATATTTTGTTTGCTTAAATCTACTTTATCTAAAGTTTTTTTTTATATAGAACGATTCGATGATAACAAGTGTGCAATAAAATGTAAAATTTCTAATAGAAATATTTCTATAATTAATTTCGCAACACATAATGGCGTTTTGTGTATATAAGTATTGAAAATTTACAAAATGCTGTTAGTACGAAGTGAAAATACGAGTTCCTTGGATAAAACACTATCTTCTTTCTAACAAAAAGAAGTAGTTATTTTGAAAATTTTTTAATTTATTTTTACGGTTCTAAATTTCACAGAATCTTGTCGTTACCGATGATTTAACGTCACTATAAACTCTATGCAGAAATGTAAGTTAAATAAAATTTATCACATTTAAAATTACCTGTTAAAAAATTCTTTTAATCGAGAACCTAATTTTGTACAAAGACAGATTTACTTGACGAGAGTAGAACAGATTTATCACAGCGTGGAGACAACAACAGAGGGCCCAACAGATCAATCTTATCGGTTCGAAGCTGATTCTGTATGTAAAACATTAAATTCTTCACAGAGTACATTCAGCAACGAATTATTTAGCAAAGAAGAACCTTCCTTAGGCCCTGCAAAATGACGCTAACATTAAAACACATCATCATTCTGCATCGTAGCATATATTAAAAGTACAAAACCCCCTGAAAGGTAAGTTAACGGGGTACGGATTGTTGCCCCGGTACGGCGACATTCGAGTGTAAAAGATTAACCCGTACCTGCATGAGCAACACCCTCGTGAAATCGTTCCGAAGCGGGAGCGAGAAGTACTCCCGAGCCAAGCTGGACACCGTGACAGATCAGTTGTACGAGAACGACGACCAGCACGATCACGTGTCCCCATCCACCCTCCGGATAGTAATGTCTCTTCAAGGTGATTCTCTTTCGAGCGTTTATCGCGGTGAGAGACTCCTCCTCGGCACCCTCTTCCGGCTCTTCCACCAGATCCTCGTAATCGTGAACGCTGCCCAGGCCACCCTCGAGGATCAGCTGCTCGGAAAACCGTCTCCTCATCATCTTGGGCGTGATGGCGACGCTGCTCCTTCGACGCTCGCCGGGACTATCCGCGTTCTCTCTTCTCTCCTTTTTCGGTTGCTGGGCGAAACGTCTGTCGGTCGGGGGTTCCCTGGCCGGATCGGTCCCGTGACTTTCATTATGCAAAGACGGCCAGGACTCGTTGGTACCGGAGCCGGTGACCTTCCCCGGAAAAAACCGCGGACTGGTTCTCGCGACGATTCGTTTCGTCGTGGTCGCGTCGACGCCGCCGGCACCTCGGGCGCAGCCGGTGGCGTCTCTGGCGAGCGTTTGCTCCGAGTGTCTGCGGTTATCGATGCCGGGGATCTTGCAGCCGCGTGGCGCCTGCGTTTGATCCGAGTGCCGACGCTGGATCACCCCGGCGATCCTCTCCCGGGGATCGTTGCCGCGATCCTCCTTGATCTCCTGGAACAGACTGGCGACCGAATTCCTGCCGGAAGACGCCGGCAGAATGCTCTGGCAGGTGGACACCGAGTACCCGGAGTCCTTCCTCTTGAAACCGCCGAGGATCGAGTGATCCTTGCTCGAGCAGCTAGAGATCTTACGGCGATAGTATTGGCACTGGCTGCACCGACACTGACACTGACACTGACACTCGGACGAGACGGAGAACTTGGCCGTTAGAACGGAACGGCACCTGGTCAGTCTGGCCAACAGTTCCTCCGGTATCTCGACGCTGTCGTTCCAGGATCTGCTGGTGTCCGTCGACGAGGTCCTGGTCAGGTCTCGTTTCAGCATCGAGCTCTCCGTGGACCAGGTCTCGGACTCGAGGCTCGAATTGTCCCCGAGTTTCGTTCGCTGAGACTTTATCGGCGGCACCGCGCGACGACCGAATCCTGATGGCTCGTCTATCGCCGCGCTGTACGAGTCGCGACGCTTACGATACGCATCTCCGTTGGATGGATCCGATAAACCAGTTCCCTCGTCCCCCATTCTGCTCGCGGATTTCTAACGATCGTAATTATGATCGGACGACGATATATCGGCCAGCGTGGCGGAGGTATCGCACTGTCGGATAAGGACTACCGCTGGCTGACGATTTTTCCGAAACGCTCTCTCCTCGGGCGAGAACGATACCTCGAATTGATAACGAACAGCTGCTCGTTAAGAGATTTGCCGATTTACGAGGCGCGTTCCTATTGCCGCTATTGATATATTAACGAGTGATGCTCACGACGGGTTTGATAACTCGAAAGCTGGTTTGCAAATCAACCTCGAATTCGTTCTTTACTTTTCCTCGAGCGCTAGATGAGAAATAGCCGCGCAAACGTTCCTCGTTTGTTCGCGACAGGTAACGACGCAGCCATCCAACGAACTGCAATCCACCACAATTACGTCGAGCAGCACAATATTACTACAAACTTGTTTCGTCTGGCAATAGCGTGAACGTTGAACCGGCTAAAATTGAACGCACCGACGAGACTCGATTACGAGCGAAACCGCGATTGTTTGGAAACGGACCGCGGCGTTCGCAGCAATGGTCGCGCGTTAACTGTCGAGGGCAAACAAATTAATACTCGTGTCGGTGGGAAGATGGTCCTTCGCGGTAGGTGCATCGCGATGCCCTGCACGACCGACCACGTCGTACGTGAGACTCCCGGGCTCGCTACGCGTCCGGACTGTCGATCTCCGATGTCCCGATTTTCCTTGAGGCGCGTGGCCGAGAACCCGATGTCGCCACGCACTTTCGTACGCTGGAAATTAAATAATCACAACGATACACCGGTAACGCGAAACGTTTACGGGCGATCGTGGCGCCGCGACGATCTGGAACACCGGCTTCTTTTACGGCCACCTCGACTGTTGAGTAACGATCACGCCTTCGTTCAACGCCACGTGGTTTCTGTAACCGCGCTGGCCGGGACAAAATTCGTCTTTCTTCCAAATTGGAACCAAAATGTTTTTTTTATTTCATTTCAAATAGTTTCATTTGCAACACTGTATCTCCTTCGCCTATACAGGTTGTTCGCTCAACCTTGAGAAAAATCTCAATGGGAGATTCTGGATGCAAAAATAAGACGTAAATCAAGAGTACCAGTTCGTTGATCGAGACTTCGTTAAAAAATTACTAACGTTTGAAGTTTCGCCCGTGTTTGCATTTTGAATCATTAAAATCCATCGATCCGTCAAGAAGTTATGATTTTTTAAACGTACACATGAAATGTCAGGTGAATGTCGATTCGCCAAAAATGATGCAAAATTCCATTATACATTGCACCATGCTCAATACCGTGCTCTAACAGCAAATTAAAGTAAGAAATGTTTTTTTTTCGTTTATATGAAAAATATTTATGTTAATTCAAGTAAATAAATATATGCGAGTATTTCATATTACACGTACTTTGTGTTTGTCGTCGCTGAATTTGTGTGATGCAATTTAGATACGCGTTTTCCAAAGAGGTCGAAATAGATATAACTGGTTAACACTTTAACCAGTGTGTGTCGCGATAATTAAGCAATGGCGGGTATAGTCGTCGAACACAGAGTATGTGTAATATGAAATTAGGTTATAATAAAATGACTTTTATCTTTTTTTATTTCATCACTCACATTTATTTATTTACTTAAATTAACATAAATATTTTGCGTATGAACGAAAAAAAAACATGAAAAATCGATTTCTTACTTTAACTTGCTGTTAGAGAATGGTGTTGAGCAAAGCATGGCACAATGCATAATGAATATATGAATCCGTAATTGCTTCTGTGATGACTAATAAAAGACAACGATACTTTATATTAATTATTTATAATTTTTATTTGTTTGTTTCGTTTCGTCTTGACGTCTAAACATATTAAACATATTAAAATTTACGAATATAACTTAGTTTTCGCCAAAATTACGATTTAAATATCAAATTTTAACAAAATTTTACGCATGACGGATATAGTCGTCATGACACAAAATTCTGCCACATCTCCATGACGGATATAGTCGTCAAACACACTTAACTGGTTAATGGCCGCACGCATCACGCGAAGACCGTTGTCCGTCACCACTGATATCGTAGACCAAAGTGAGATACACGAAGATGCTAGGAATACTATTATATGGAATTACAAATATAATAACTAGATGCATTTAATATGCAAAAATATAACAAAAACTCAAGTAAGATAAGGATTATTGTATTTAGGGGTTGAAAGAACCCTCTACGAAGCTCTTATTTTATTAATTTTATTAATAAATATATGAATTTGCATAAAAATCCGCAGTCTGGTAATAACCAACGTAATAAGTTGAATGTATGATGAAATGGTGGCTGATACGGTAGATCACGCACACGTGACAGTGGCCAAAGGGCTGCTAGCTCGCAAAGTCACGTGTACGTGACAGCGGCCGTCAAAGTGTTAAGAACCGCGAGGAAATGGAAGACGTTTAATAACAATTCAAACTATGATATATCATTTGTTTATAAATAGTTGCTACAATATAAAGTTAAACGTGGAAATGTTTCGTTTAGCGGGTGTACATCTCGTTCGAAAATGCAAAGATCACCTCGATCTCTTCGATAAGGTAGCCCATATTGTCGATTTCGCGTGGCAGAGATAAGGCAAAATATTGACCATTTGCGGTAATGCATTGTACGAGTTGATACGGCTCCGAACGGTGTTCGACTCCGCTGAGTCATTAAGAGGTCGTTAAACACAGCGGGGTAAAAAAGAAACGCGTGGGAAGAAAGTTCGTCCGAATGCAATTCTGGATTCTTAACGATGGACTTCGAGAAACGATGTTTCTCGAACGATCGATCCAAGTTACGGCCATTTTCGATGATCGTTTTCTCAACTTTCAAAAATGAAATATCTTTATCCCGAGCCTTTGTTATTCGAATCATCCACCATCGGACTATTTACTATTCGAACTTTTAAATATTATCCAACCTTGGCTCAGTTTTGCAGAATGTCTCTCTTTCTATCGAAACGTTCTTCTAAAATAATCCTGCACAAGCGACAATGGAAATCGAATACGGAACAATTAATAAATCGTTACGAACGATAATCTTAACGATATAAACTGATTTTGCAGGTTTGATCAAAAAAATATTTCAAACGCAACGGATAAATAAGCATCGTGTATTATTCTTTTTATGCAAATAATTTGTAAACTTTTTTATGCTCGGGATCAAATTAGTAAGAGTAAAGATCATTCCGGGGGGCTACAATTATTACAAATGTTATTATCGGTATTGTCTTATATCGGAGAAAATTTAGGTTTGGTGCAGCGAATAATTTCAATCTTAAAATGTCCGACCGTAGCGCTAAAGATTAAAAGGGGCTCCTCGGGCTCAGAAATGACTCTTAAAACACGTATTTTATGACTAACGTTAGCTTCGTACGTAAAGAAAGTAATAATACGAACCAAAAATAGAATGCCGATTTTACACAAAATTTAACTTTCAATTATTCAAGAAAAGAATACAACAAGAGAATGATCATTACACCCATTTATTAAGTTGTTCCAGATCAGATAATTAAAATATTTTCTTTCCTTTTGTTTATTTATTTAAATGGTGGAAACCTTCTATGTCACGATGTCAAAATTAGTCGATATGTAGCACAGAATTTTATGTGTTTTAATATTTTCCATAGCTGTCGTTCAAACGAAGAAATTGTAACCATGAAAAGAAATAGCTTGCTGTGAAATTGAAAAACTCGAGCCACCCGAAACGTTACGTTCTCAGCGTGAAAAATCGTGTTCTGTTCCGTTTCAATTTCAAGCCGCTCGAATTACTCGAATGTTTCAAATTTTCATATATGAAAAATCAAATACAAATATTACTTTTAATAAGAAACTGAAAAATGTATAAAACGATAATAAAAGTTATATATTAAACATAGTCATCTATCTATAGGTAATGTTCGTTTCAAATGGGTATATTTACACCTTCCTTGTGTAAAAAAGAAACTTCAATTCTTAACAAACGTAATTAGAATCAAACGTCTTCGTATCACAGCTGAATAATTGATAATTAAAGCTTTGAACGTGTTTTTCTCGAAATGAATATTTTCATATTAGTGGTTTCTTTTCTCAGAAACTGACCTAACATTTTCTATTGTTTTATCCAGGAAAGCTTGAAAAAGTATATATTTTCCTAATGCCTGTTGTAAAACTAAAATTGTCTCTTTTAAAAACGTTACGTTTCTAAGCAAGCTAATATAATAGTTTGAAAGACTGCAAGTATAACGACAGCAAGATTAATTTCATTTCTAAAAAAAAACTAATTTATATTTATATCTAATCGTTGGAGCCAGAGAAACCCAACCGTATATACTGCAGTGCCATATTTTACATTTAAATTAACATTCTTTCACGACACTTGTCACAAATAATTATCAAAGTATGGAATTTCAATGCGCGTATATGCCCAAACATATCCATTAGACGTTCCGTACCGAAAAGAAGAAATTCCTCGATATTGTTCTCTTATTTTACCTTCGAGGCGGTGCTCATCCTTAATTGCCTTGGACGTCGTTTATCTTAATTGGTAGTTCGCTTGTCGAATAAGATTATTAATCGATCTCGGGGACTCGCGCGATTTTAGGAGCCAGCCGATCGGCTGATTCAGCACTTAGCCATTCATAAATCAAACGTTTTTGCCGCGTTTCATTTCCTTTTTTCAGTGGCACGTTCGCGCTCGTTACGCCGGACTGTGCAAATATTTGGCGCGTGAGCTTAATGATAGAGACTCGAATGGATTGGAACTTGGGTTTATAGTTTGTTGATTGCGGCGACGGTTGGCGTGGGGTTTGCAAGGTCTTTTTAAATACCAGAAGGAACGGAAAGTAACCGCAACGGACGTGGTTCAATCCTGCTGCGTTCCTCGATTCGACCATACAATTCAACAGAAAAATCTCTCTAATACGAGAAATTAGTTTTTCAATCTTCCTGTCTAGCTAGAGAATTAAAGAAATTTCTACTACGCTCGTTCGTAT